TATATATATATATGACATAAATCATTATTTATGTCATATATAAGTTAAATTGTGTATTTAAAAAAAGATTCATCTGGTTAAACGGTTTAATTGTTGCAAGATTTTAAATGACATGTAGAATAAATGTTTTTGATGAAATATCACAATTTTAAGCTTCGTTTCGCTTGTTTTCTGACTAAACCCTTGGTGACACATGATGTGTTCAAGGACCATCGTAAAGATGAAAATCTCGCTATAATGAAGGTCTTTACAACTTCTGGCTGTGAAAAACGGTGTAGTTTTGGCTATCGTTGTAAAAACTAAAGAAACATGCTTTTCCATCCTACCGATGGGGTTCAGAGGGCTTCAGGGTTTATTTTTGCCTAATTTATTCATAACAATAGCAGCGTAATCCTTTTGCGAGTTCGCCTCCAAGTTTATCGTTAACCAAGTTGCCTGCATGAACTATGAGAGTTGAGCTGCAAGGACTCGTCTGCTAAGCGTGTGTCCAGCGGACATCTTGAATGTGAATGAAGTGTCCTGCTACTCTTTAAACCGTTTTAAAAACACACTTCCTGTCGTTTCATTTCTTTAATCTGTCGTTTATCTGCATCCTCACTCACCCAGCGAGTTCTCATCGTCCAGGATCGCCCCTCGGTTCCTCACCCGCCCCGTCGCAGGCACGAGGAAGTCGTCGTCGTCGTCATCATCGCCCCCCCTGCCGACGGGTTTCTTAACCGGCGAGTTGGTGTCGCTCAGCCCTTCATCCATGAGTCGGCCATCATCGTCATCATCAAACAGGTCGTCGTAGTTTTTCGCCGTCTTTTTCGTTGGCGCCTGCTGAAAGTCACGCAGTTCATTAGAATCAACGCAGAAATATTTTCATCAAAATATCAAGAGATTAAAATTTAAAGGAGCGATAAGTACAATCTTAGAGAATGTCCACAGTTTTAACAGAAAAGAGGCCGAAACCTTTCATTTCTAACCTCATCACCAGAGGATGTTTTCAGATTATTAACTTTAGTAAAAGTACTAATTCCACACATCACAAGTAAAAGTATGCAAGTAGAATCAGGAAAACATACTTAAAGTATTAAATCTATCTAACTATCTTAGTTGGTGTTACAGAGTTGTATTAAATGGGTTTTCTGAGCAGTACCTTGGTGCTGGTGGAGGTGGAGGTGCCGAGTCCGTCCAGCAGACCCAGGCAGCCCTCTGTGTCTGTGTAGGCCACCTGGCTGCCTGACGGGTTCCAGGCCAAACCGCACACCGTGAAGCCCTTCTCGTGCTTCTGCCTGCAGCAGAGACGAGACAACTTCAGCTGCAGAAGATCCTGAACGCTTTGAACGACATAGTTTGCATCGGTCAACAACTCTCAAAAGCTCATAACTTTGCCGATCTTTACCTTTCAACGCAGAGCTTGCTGTTCACGTCCCACACCGTCAGCGCACCCCCGACGCTGCCGGCCGCCAGGAACCGACCGCACGGAGACCAGGCCACCACGTTGATGAGCTGCAGAGACAGCAGGGTGGGGGGAAAAACAAAACTTCATGTGTGTCACATAAAGGATGACGGGGGGGACAAAGAGCCGAAAGGAACACAGGAAGTAACGAGAACAACATGAACTACATGGAGTTTTAACACAACAGCAAGCAAGCTTAGTTTGGAGAGAAGAAGAGGAGCTTGGCTGAAGAAAATACTAGTTTCTCTCAGTGTGTACAGCCTCTCACTCTCCGGGACCCTCGAGTGTTACTTGAGAACATTAACATTAACCAACGGGACCGTATTAGCCGACCCCTACGCCGCCGGCAGGCTACTTTTGCCAGGAGAAGAGCAGATGGGAGTTCAGGAGAGGACGGCTGGCTAGTATGCTCGCTAGTCTCTGGAGCTCCCACTCTCCTCCCTGCGAGGAGTGAGGCAGAGAGACCGGTCGACCCATTGCTGCCACCGGCCAACGTGTAGCATGGAATTAGCAAGGTAGCTAGCTAACTAGCCAGACTCCAAACTTATTAAAAATGTAATAGCTTAATGCTTCAACCACAGACTCTTGTCACAGAGTGGGAAAGTACATTGATATCAACAGATGAGTGACATCATGGCGGAATTAACAAGCTAGCTAAGTGGCCAGCTGTCCGCTAGTTGGTTGGTTTGTATGCGTGGGTTGTAGCATCATCAGCATCGATTTCACCATGATTCTCGACTTTTTCTCATCAGCAGTGCAGATCGGCCTTTAACGAAGACGACTTAACCCTGAACATGTGCACATGTGTACGTCCACCCGGCCCTCACCTACCTGTGTCTGCAGATCATCGGACAGCGTGCTCACATGATCCCAGGTCCCTCGCTCGTACAGGTGCACCTTCGTCTCCACAGGAACCGCTAAAAACTAAAGCACGCACACAGACATTTTGACATGGATTAGACCACAATCAATGTATTAATCCCTGATGTGGTTTGCATGGAGGAAGTGCTGGAGGGTGCAGATGTAAAGAGTTGCGTCGCTGACCTTTGCTGTCGAGGGCTGCCAGGCCAGCCGACACAGAGACTTTGCATTGCTGACGTCATTGGTCTTCTGCAGCAGAGGCCAACTGATCAGCTGAGACTGAACGGACACAAAGCAGATCAGCATCCCACACACTGGACTGATGGGAGTGCACATGAAAAAAACATTTAAAAAACACTGACGTACCTGCTCCTCGATATTCCAAACCACCACGGAGCCGTCGCAGCTGGCGGACGCCTGACAAGAGAGAGAGAGAGAGCAGAAGATTTGTATTTGTTGCTGAAAACGTAACACAAGTCTCAGCCTTTCAATATATTCCCTCTGTGATATTATTATTATTATCATTATTATTATATTTCCCATCACAAGGATCTCTGCCGCAGAAGCGATGTCAAAGCCTTGTGACAGCTGCAGCTTTTAAATGCTGACAAAACAAAAGACTCTTTTCTTTGTTGAAGGTTTGGTTAAATCTATCTCAATCGAATTATACGTTAAGAGACTCATTCAGAGAAGTCACCATCAATGCAGGTCCTCCTGTCCGTTTCTCCAAACTGTAGTAAAACACTGACTATGGAGAAGAACCTCATACAAATACACTTCAAAAACACATGAACTGCCCCTTCAACCTCAGCGTTGCATTCCTGACGTCTTACGCACCAGGAAGTCATCTTTGGGGTCAAAGGTGACACTGAGGACGGGCGCTTCGTGGCCTCGGAGCGTTTTCTGCTGGCTGCTGTCCGACACCTCCACCACCTTCACCATGAAGTCACTGGAGGAAAACAGAGAGATAATACAAATAATAAATGTGTGAGAAACTGGCTCGTGAACGCGTGACTACCGGCGACAGAACGGAGCAGACATCAGCTGCGAAGCGGCACGAGTGAAAATCATAAAATCGATGCAAAAATAATGCTGATTTCCGCCGACGTCCGCCAGAATGCAGATGTCAAATTCGCCCTAACAGCCTCAGATGCCTGAATTGTTACAATCAATACCACAACAGAAATTACCGGTGTGGAAATAGAAGCATCAATAAGGCGCCATGCTCTGTGCCGTCATTGCCGTGATAAACTGGCTCGGGGCGAATCAATTCTGGGAGCAAAACAAGACGTTTATGTCCAATCAAGTCTGATTCAAAGCGGTGCTCCGTCTGTGAGGCGGAGCAATGGTTCAGGCACACCGTGCTGTGCTGGAACAACAGCGAAACCTAATAACGATCAGAGTCTGGTTCAGTCACGGCGAACTGAACACAACAGACACGTTACGCACGACAGCTTCACCTGCAGCCACAGGACACGCCGGAGAGCAGAGAACACGCATCGCTTAACAAAGCTGACGTGACGTCCGCTCGTCTCTCAGATCCGGTTCTTCTCTGAGATCAGGCTCAGGATGAACCCATCAGTCAGCTGGAGGCCCTCATAGCTGAATATATATATTCAAAATGTTGTCACGGGTTGTGGTCCACATGGGCGGAGTCTCTGTAATGGAACACTTTGAAGCAGCTCATTGAACGATAAAGTCTGCCAGTTACGACTTTATATGCGATAGGAACTATTGTTACGTCCAATGTTGCTCTGGGGACATATTTAGCCGGTGCCAGTGTTGCCAACTTGGCGACTTTCTCGCTAAATCTTGCGACTTTCCAAACCCTTTGTCAAAAGCTACTAGTGACAAATCTAGCGACTTGTTCTGGTGTTGTTGGAGACTTTTCTGGTGTTTTGACTCTGATGTTAAAGCACGTACGTTCTGCACTGACGTGAACGAGCAGCGGGAGCTGCCGTGAGCACCTCCGCTGCCCCAAAGCACTCACAGGCGGCTACTCTCACAGCAGCCTCGCGCTGCAGTCAGAGCAGAGAGGAGACGCACTCTCGGCGTTATTGTATTTATAGGTGTTGAGCTTCATTTTGACACGAAACAAATAATAACCGTAGCTGTGTTTCAGCTGCAGGACAGCAGTGAAGGCCCAGGTATAAAATGCACGGCCCGCCACTGAGTTCTATTAAAGACACGGTTGGTAATCTTGAGAAACACTAGATTTTAAAAATGATCCAACCTTAAAACACAGCCCAGTGTTACAAACTCTTGTCCAATGAAATTAGCAGCATTAGCTCCAAAGGTTGCTAAATCTAGTGAGAAAGTCTCCAAGTGGTCAACACTGACGGTTTGTCCCTTCAGGCCTCCTTCCAAAGCCCCTCCCCCAAAATGATCATCATGAAGGTAAACAATGAACATGGCTGCTATCAATACTCACAGCTGTTCAGCTCTCAGCTTGTGGAAGATGAACAGTGAGTGCAGGTAGTTAACCCGCCCAATCATTACATTCGTTCTGAATGGACGGGCTAATTACAGGCCTGCGACAGCCACAGATTGTTTCTATTTTTCCTCGTTTCATATGACTCACTGATTGCTGTCAGGATGGAAGGATGTTTTTTGAGGAAGATTACCAACCCCGCCTTTAATCCGTGAGCTACAAATCTCACCACCTCTGCCACCTTTGCCTCAGCTTCTCGTTCTGGTTTTTGTTTAAAGCGGTCATAAGCACCTGGACCCGGCAGCGACTCTGGAGCCGCTGCTGTTGAAGGCGACGTGTGTGGCGTTGGTGGTGAACCGGGTCAGGATGCCGTCCGGATCGCCGTCGGGAAACGTGTGGATCTGCACCGTGTTGTTGGAGCTCGCCGTCACCAGCTTGCCGTTCTGTGGAGGGAAGGACACGTTTCAATCCTCCACCGACAGCGGATTAATTTTAACAAAGGTCTCGGTGGAACGTGAATCAAACATCCTGAAAGATCCCAAAACAAGCAGAAGACAGGTGGTGACCAACCTTGAGCGCGAGTGAGTACGCCTTCTCCCCCACGGTGATGAACTTTGGATCGTCGTCGTCCAGACCCTCCCATATACGAACATCTCCATCATTCCCGCAGGTTACAATGAACCTGAAAATTTGAATATTGTGAAGCAGAAACGTGTCAAACCAATTGTTTCATCTTCCTCAGAAAGTAAAGATTTAAAGGTGAAGTGTTCGGGACGTGTCCGGTGTGCCAAGCGTGTAGGAGAACTTCTGCGTCTGACGTGAACACACGAGTGTGCTTATCTAGAGCCAGCATTTGGTTTGTCCCTTCTGGGCTACTGTAGAAACGTGGCGGACTCCGTGAAGAGGCCCCGCTCCGTATATGTAGGTATAAACGTCTCATTGTAAGGTAACAAAAACACAACAATACTTATTTTCAGGTGATTATACACTAAAGAAAACATACTTATCAATATTATATTCCATTTCTATCAATAGACCCCACTGAATGCCACACACTGTTCCTTTAAATCAGCTCATTAGTGTGCATCATGAGGACTGAGAGCATACATAGAGTACAGTATACATAAAGTACAGTATACATAGAGTACAGTATAAAGTACAGTATACATAGAGTACAGTATACATAGAGTACAGTATAAAGTACAGTATACGTAAAGTACAGTATACGTAAAGTACAGTATACGTAAAGTACAGTATACATAAAATAGAGTATAAAGTACAGCATACATAAAGTACAGTATCACTAAAGTAGAGTATAAAGTACAGCATACATAAAGTACAGTATAACTAAAGTAGAGTATAAAGTACAGCATACATAAAGTACAGCATACATAAAGTACAGTATACATAAAGTACAGTATACATAAAGTACAGTATACATAAAGTACAGTATACATAGAGTACAGTATACAGTACAGTATACATAGAGTACAGTATACATAGAGTACAGTATACATAGAGTACAGTATAAAGTACAGTATACATAGAGTACAGTATACATAGAGTACAGTATACATAGAGTACAGTATACATAGTCAGAGTTCAAAGTTGAGTGTACAATAGTCCTGTAGAAGTAAATGAAAGACTACGATTGTATTTGTTTTTGTTGTTGTATGGACTCGTGTCTGGAAATAAAGTTGAATATTTGAATAAATATCAGGACATCCAGAAAGACGAGTTCCAGCGATCAGCTACCTTTAACAGTTAAATGAATTAAAACAATATAAAATAGACTGAACTTACTTCCCGGAGTCATCGAAGCAGACCTCGGTGTGTCCCTCCGAGTGGCCGTAGCGCATCGGCTTCCTCTCACAAGGCATCTTAACTCAACCTCCGGACTGACGAGCAGAAGAAGAAACCGAGTAATAAATAAGAAGACGTCGTCTCACGAGTTGTGACTCGAGCAGATAGTTCGTTAGTTTGACAACTTACTCGCTGACTCCACTGACTCCAGATCCGATCCTCTTCTTCCTGAATCTCCCGCGCTGCGTTGAAAACAAGGACGCGCAGCGTCACCACTCCCGCCATATTTACGTCATGACGCAAGCGGCGTAACCCCGCCTACGTTTGAGAAGAAGCTGATTTAGCAAAGAGGCAATACGCTCAGAGCTTTTAGCAAAGTAAAAGTAGCAACACTGCTGTGTAAAAATACTCTGTTACAAGTAAAGAAAAATCTTACTTTAGTAAAAGTACAAAAGTATCAAATATACTTTAAGTACCAAAAGGAAAAGTACATCATTTTGCAGAATGGCCCATTTCAAAATAGTATATTTGAAATGACTGGATTATGATTATTGATGCATTCATGTGTACAGTTTAATGTTGCAGCTGGTGAAGGTGGAGCATTTGTTCATTTATATTTTTGTAATAATAATCTAAAAGTACAATATTTCCCTCAAAAATGAAGTTAACAATCACAATTTTAAGTTTAAGTATTCATTCTCGTGACTTTTAATATATATTTTTTACATTTTATTGTTGTAATTTCTAGTCGAGCAAAATTATATTTATAATACAAATAAAAATCACACATTTTAATTGTACACAAAAAACCTTAATTCAACCAAACTTAACTTCATATTTATACAAGTACAACAAATTGCAAATCAAAGATCTTTCTAACTAGTTCATTCTACAGCTGGATAATCTCACATTTATGTCTGACGCAGCAGAAAACTGATTTATACGGTTGTTTTAATCATCTTTATTCTTTATTATATTATATTAGTATTGTAAGTAATACAGATATTGAATGAAAAGTTAGACTCTTAAATATATATTGAGAGCAGCTGCTAAAGATTTGATTACTATCTTATTTGGGTGAAAAATGTATTTCTCAGCATCACATCTTGTATTTCAGACCACTTTTTCACTCTGCAAACACATAAATGAGACAGAAACAAATGTTCACCCACTAATACCTTTAATTATGGATCAATACAAGCATCTATCAATGCTCATCTTAGCTGCCAGAGACCACCTGCCACCCGTCTGTTTGAGCGGCGTCTCGGGGGAGAATTTGATTAGTGCAACAGGAAGTACTCTGTCAGTGAAATACAACAGCATGTAAGAATCAGAGTGTGAACATGTGCAACAGTGCTGGAACTGGTGTTTTAGATTACAAATGACTGTACGTTTCTTTTCTCAGATTTGGATATCAAATGTATTCTGAATCTAATGTTACACAACAGAACGCTGCTTCTGCAGCTGCTGAAAGATGATGCTGGCTATAACCGCATGTGGTTCAGGAAAATCAATAGATGTGGCTCCTGAACTCCTGTCCATCGACTGAGCGCTGACATGCAGACAGTCAAAGATAGACTTTGTCTGTGGCTTCACATCTGACAGAAGTTCATCAGCTGTCAGAGCGGTTTACCTCCAGTGATTCAGTGTTGGCCTGCAATTAAGAAACAAATAAAAGCAAAATGGAAGCATCGGAGGCTCAAATATAACCTGACTTTTAGAGAAAGGTTCAAAAGAAGCAGAATCCAGCAATTGTTCATTACTTACACAAATAATTGAGCCTTTAGGTGTCAGCTGATGTTGTTGATAATCATTGCCATAAAAATACTCATAATATAGTAAATATTCTTAATTGTTTGACAGTCTGAAAGTAGAGTGGCCACAATCTTGAAGCTTAAAATTTGTCTCACTTTTGTCCAACGTTACACTCGTCTGAAAGCAAGTAGCCCATGTCCCACAGTAACTAACAAACCAGCTCTGATTCCCACTGTATTGATACATGGATGTCACTTTCCACTTATATAACTATATATATATATATGTATATATATATACATATATATAGAGAGAGAGAGAGAGAACATTTTGCAATCAGTAATTAACCAGGTAAGAAAGCAAATGGAACCAGTGCAGTAGAATATGTGCTTTTACATTTATTTATAGAATATTTACACCTATTATTACACTACTCATGTACTTAACACTCCTGTCTATTCTTTACTTTTTATTTGTCCAGCTATGCATATATATATATATATATATATACATTGTTTATACATTTACATTTTTTAAATGAATGTTGACCTGTTTTTTTGCTTTATTCGGTATTTTATATTATATTATATTTCATCCCGATATTTCAACTCGTTCTGCTTAAATTGTACTCTCGTGATTTTTTCTTTTTTATACATATTGGTATTTGGATGCAGTTTTGGAGGGAGCTTAAGAACTTAAGATTTTCATTGTAATTGTTGTGCAGGTGACAATTAAGAACTCAAACTTAATTCCCTATATCTAAACGTAAACCGTATATGACATAGAGAACTTTGGTGAATAGGAAAACACATAATGGAAAAACAGAACAAAAGACCGGCCAATTTACTCAAGCACGTATAAAGTAAAACGAGTATGACAAATACTGACAAAAAAACTTTTGGGGCCTGAAAACCAAATGGCCTTGTGATGATTATTTCATGCACTGTTTTGTATTCATACAAGTCACTTGCCCTGAGCAGTTTTTTCTTTACACTGCTGGTTGAAGAGAGGCTGAATGACATGAATCAGTTGAAAAAAAATAATCTGCATTCCATCCCATTTATGAAGCGGAAATAGTCTTCTTCATGTCCTTATCTCTCCATTTGCTCTGCTGAAGCGCTGGCATTTAGAGGTGTCCTTTTGCAGACAGCGGGATGAATTGTTTTCAGAGCGATACTTCAAAAGCAGCATTTTCCGTCCCATTAGCCTGTCTGACTACAAAAGCCCACAGCTGCAGCGTGAACGGGCACGGATGGATGAGCACGACTTGAGCTGCACCATGAAATCGGTCCAGAGGTGACAAAAAAACCTGAGACAACAGTCAGACGACGGGGGCAGTGTAAATGGCATTTATTGTTATTTTGTGTATCAGTGTGACGAATACAATATAAGCCTCGAGGGGGGAAACAAAGGGATTCAAATACTTCAAGTACTCACGGTGGCCCTGAGAGTTCAGAGCAACTTTAGAAAACACAAGCATAAGAAGAAAACGTCTTCACATACAGCATTTAGAAAAAACAACTCTGAAAAGAAAAACACTTTGATGTTAATTTACAGTGAAATTCTAACACTAACCGACTGTATTATGCACTTTATCGTTGTGAAAGCAATGCATTCTGGGAGTCGTAAAGCTTGTTCTCATGATCCTGACGGTTTATTTTCACAGTATTACTGCTTGCTGCTAACAAATTATTGTACATTTTGATTACAGTAAGTTACTGTATTTCTCGGATACAGTAGAGATACTGTAAATTGTATGCTGCCGGTTAAAATACTGTATTTTTAAAAGTTTATAAGTAAGTTTATAAGTTGCTGTATTCTTTTAATAGAGTATTTTAAATTGTACAGTCAATTACTAGCAAAATTGCTGCCAGTAATTTACTGTTTTTTTCCATAAAAAGTTTTAGTCAAATACAGAAACACTGCAAGTCACAGAGAACAACGGAGATTAGTTTAAAAAACATTTTAATTCACTTAATCGAAATAAACTAATGCTGTTTGTAGCATGATTCAGATTTGAATTGACATGCTAGTAATCAGCAGAACGGTGAAGCTATAGATTTACAGCAAATATCTGACATTTGGAAAAAATATTCTGTTGTGTGATTTGCAGGTTTTTCCATATTTGGTTGCGTTTTTGCAGCGTTTTCTCTTCCTAAATGATACACACGTCATTTCTATTTGCATGTGTTTTTCTTCCAGTGGCAGTGCGTCGAGCTCTCAGGGCCACCGTATCTCCAACGTGTAAACAGTTGTTTGCGATAACAGTACTTGTGAAAGCTAAAGAGGCACAACCGATGTTGAAATATCCATCTAGAAAGGAGCTTTCAGCTAAGAAGAAGCAACTGAGTCCAGACAAGTGCAGTTGTGCCTCCATCTTGTGGCTGACAAGATGAAAACTGTCCCATTGAAGCTCACATTTGTGTTTGTTCAGAAGAGCCGTTGGGACAGTATTTGAACCTTTTTTTTGTCACCATGCCTTTCTCCCACTCATATCTGTTAACAACAGAGTCCTTGTTCCCGTCCTCTGTTCTTCAGTTTGCCCGACACAACTGACCCTCGAGGAGGTAAATGTGGTTCACAACCTCAGTCTTCACACAAAGACTTTGGAGGGAGATGTGGTTTTGAATTTTGTGATTTGTTAAACAGGTCAACAGGATTTATATGTTGACAACAGTCACGCTGTGCCACTTCCCCCCAACAAGAGTCTTAAAATAATGCAGAATTAATTATGTTTGGATATTAGATGCCGTTAAGAGTCCTTCTACCTCAGACATTTGACAGCACTGATTGTGTGCAAGACAAAGTCAACAGCAAAACATCACATATTTTATTATACTATGGTACATGCATAGAAATAGAAGAGGAGTAGACGGACATTAAACTGTTTCCGTGATCATTTGAATGTTTGGCTCATTTTCTGTAACCAGTGTAGCATTAAAGCATGGTGCAATCAGCATCTGCTTGTCAAATGCTACGCTGATTACAGAACAAATAGCCGCACAAAGTTGTCACTCAACTGTTGATATCAATGTGCTTTGGTATGCTGTGTGGATGAAGCATTAAGTTGTTCAATTTGACTCATTTACTCTCTACGCTTCGTTACGATGCGACTCCCGCAACCTCAGATCCACCGACGCCAACCTCCTTACCCCCCCTACTCTGACCAAGCATCGGACCTGGTGGGGCAGGGCCTTCTCCATTGCTGGCCCCTCCCTCTGGACCTCCCTCCCCCAGCACCTCAGACATTCTCTGTCACTTAAAACTCATCTATTTAAATCTGCTTATAACCTGTGAAGCTATGTATGTTTTTTGTGTTGTCCCTTACTGTTATGTCATCGCTTTTGTTCATATTGTAACTGATTTTTTTGTTTCTGTTTTTACCACGTAAAGTGCCTTTGAGTACCTTTTAAAGCGCTATACAAATAAAATGTATTATCATTATTATTACTCCACTCAGCCATTGAAATCAGAAAAGGTGCAGTTCCTCTAGTGGCCTCTAGAGATCATAGATGCCCACATGATTTCCAACAGATTGACTTGAAATCAAAGGGGGGAAATGCTCCAACATCAGAAGTCAATATTCCACAAAGAAAATGAGGGTTAAAGTTTAATGTCTTTGTGAGAATCTTTACACCATTAAGGATATTAAGGCAAGTGTTCTGGAGAATGTTTGCTTCATTACAGGTTTCTCAGCGTATCTTGACTTGTCTCCAGACGCTGTCAAGATCCAAGGTTTCAAATCCTTCCTTAACACTGAAAGAAGACGCATTACGTCCATGTGTTCCCACAGTATATGGATCTGTTTGAAGATCAAGATCAACAAAGACCTTAAAGAACTCTCCAGTTCTGCACCTTTTAGACCTCAAAGATCTGCAACAGCGAAGCTACTTGAAATTCAAACGGCCTCTTTGCCAAGAGATCCTGCCTTTGTTTGCCCCTCCACGGTATGAGGCCTGCTTTGGACATGTCACACAGCGCAGGCCCCATCACACTTGATGTGGTACTGTTGGAGGTAGTCCCTGAGCTGAGGAGGCAGCAGCAGGTTGTCTATGCCCTGGTAGGTGGTGCGGCTACAGATCACAACCCTGCAGAGGTGCTGGAGGGTGAAAGGGAAGGACCTTGGTAGCGGCTGGGAGAGGAGAGGCTCAAAGAAGAGGCAGGTGGCCGGGTCGCTGTAGTGCCTCAGCAGTCCTGTCACACTGGGGTCCCGGTACATGCACGGGTCGCGCACGTCGAAGCTGAAACGCTTGTCGTTCTGCTCGATGCGTGCGTGCAGGGAGCGGCTGTAGCGACGGAAGCTGACCGAGAAGAGGAACTCATCCTGGGCAGAGTCCCGGAGCAGAAACGTCCCCTCCGGTTTGCCCTCCAGCAGCTCCTCCGCCTCGAAGCGGTTCAACACACCCCAGTAACAGGAGCTGTTGTTGATCTGGAGGAGATCCGGGACCAGGATGTAGTCGGTGTGGCCACAGCTGCCCTCTGCTCCCCCGTGAGGACAAGAAGGGTCCCAGTCCTCCAGACTAGTGCCTCCAGGCCCAGGAGAGCAGCAGATGTCCTCCCAGGAGAGAGGTGTCTGTGGCGTGGAGGTAGAAGAGGATGAGACATTGGGTTTGAGGGGAGCCTCCATGTCCTTGAGGGCACTTGGGTGGGTGGTGTTATTTTTTACAAGGTGCCAACATCGGGCCAGTTCGGATTTGGGCGAGAAGGGACACTTGTCCTGCATGAGCTCTGAGACGTGGATCTTGCGTTTGGACCAGAAGAGCACCGAGAAGGGTCGCGAGGATCCCGATGGAAGGTGGTGATGATGATGGTGGTGATGATGGTGAGAGCGCAGAGGAAAACACTGGCCCACAGCATCCTGAAACTTCTGCCGCAGAGAGCGTCGGGACAAGGCCTTCCGACACACCACATCAATGTCTGCGGACGTCAATGCGTCGCCGAGAGCGCAGCAGCTACACTTTCTCTCTCTGCGCCGCCTCGGACAGGATGTCGACCGCACGCCCAGCTCCTCCGTTCCCTCCGCCTCCAGCCCTCCGGGACTCGACCCGTTGCGAGAGCTCCGGGAGCGTTTCTTCCGCCGCCAAACATAACTGTCTGCACTCCAACTGCGGAGGCCAGATTTGGGTCGCGTGTCCGAGCCTCGTGGCTTCTTCTCTGACATGGCTGCTTCCTCTTCTTACTCTGTGGCACATTCAAGAAAACAGACGCCTGAGTCATAACAAGATTACAGGAGCATGACTCATATTATTAACACATTATTTAGTCTATTATCAAAAGGTTGTAAAATTGTGCATAAGGGAGGTAAGAGAAACAGACACACAGACATAAAGCCCCATTGATAAAAGGACTTTATACCTTTTTTTACTCACCACAAAGAGTTCTGTGGTACCAGAAAATATTTTTTTCTTTTCTTGTGCCAGAGGGGTCCATTTTGTAAAGGTTACTCATAAGAAACATGTGAGTAAGTACCTCGATATGATATCTAAAATACATATTATTGGGAGCCACATTTTTTTCGTCTGGTGCAGAACCATCTGGCTTATGTGGAGATTTTTTTCTGATCGTCTCCAGTGGCGAGAAATTAAATTATCATTGCAGTGTTCAGAAACGGCCTGCAGACAAAAATGTATCAGTTCCCGTATAAAAAGCCCACAGAAACATCTAACAAGGGAACAGACTTCTCATGCTTCATTCAGAGATGGGTCAGCAGGAAAGTTTTGTTGAAATGTTTACAAAGCTATTGTTTGAACAGTCTGTTATAATTGTACATAGCAGCAGTTTGCAGAGATGGTCTCTTACAATACAAAGTCTGTGAGCAGCAGAAGGTTGAACATCTCAGACCGGTCATTTTCATTTTTTACTGTTATGAACTCTTTGAAGATTAATGCAGGAGATTATCTTACCTTCCAAACAGTGTCAGACATCCACATCAATGTTACGACCAGTTGTTCACTGCACATTAGCGGACATGTGTGACCCGCCTGCAGCCAGCTCCAGCTCTAACAGACGGCAGACTGTTCCGCTTCCTATATAATTATGATGCCGAATCCCCGAGGGGGCAGCCGCTTCCTCTCTTCCTCTCTGGGTCTGAATGAATGAAGGGAGGAAAGGCGAGGTGGAGAGGGGTCGAACCGGGAGATGGGGGAGGGTTTAATGCGGGTTAATGGCAGTGAGACATCCTCTTCTCTCTCCTACGTCTCCTTTACACGTTCATTGACAGATTCTATATAAAAAACAAAAGAGTACAGATAACCAGAGCAGCCGGAGAGTGCTTTTTCATTCACAAAGTGAGTTATTGCTATTATTGACTCCTCCAGGAGGATCATGCGATGGATATCGTCTGTGTGTGCGTGCAGCCATGTGCACCTCTTAGTCAGTCCATGACTAATCTCACATTCTACTGCACCAAACTGCATCATATTTAGTCTGCAGCCCGCGTGGCAGTGCCTGAGTACGATGTACTCAGCAGTGTGTGTTCTAGTAGTTCTGTCAGCTGTTAGCTGTTAATAATATTAATATTAATTAGAAGTTTACTGATGTACCACCTTTAAAAACAGAGTTTACAAAGTGCTTTGACAGAGTGAGGCCCAACAAAGCAAAACAAACTAAGGTGAAATTAAACAATAAAACCAAATCGATAAGATAAGAACAAACTAAGAAATTAAATGAATACAAAAAATAATAAAGAATAATAAAATAAAGCGGTAAATCAGTTAAAACATGATATCACATAAAAGTCAGTCTGTAAGAATGGGTGTTAAGAAGTGATTAAAAAGAGAGTTAGCAAAACAAACCGTGTAGAACAATAAAAGTGAGCAAACTGTTCTGTCCCTCCACTGTGTCTCTGGCTGCAGAGTAGCGACTGGGCATTGGAGATGCAATCAGCTGCGTTATCACTAAGTGGCCCCTACCAACCGGGGGTCCTAAATATCAGGCAGAATGAGAGATAAGCTGAGTGCATCCCTGACCTCCCAGCCGTGACCCTGCACCTGGAGACACAGTGTGGGTGGTAACAGTTTGCCCACTTTTATTGTTTTGGACGGTGTGTTTGGCTGACAGCTAACAGAAGTACCAGCAAACACACTGCTGAGTACATCACCGCCACTCAGCCGCTGCTACGTGGTCAGACAGCTTGATGAGTTTCATTTTGTTTTTGGCACGATTGTAAGATGTGTCTCGTACAATGATTTCGAGCCAATTGCCTGCATTGATCTGCGCTTGTTTTGGAGTTTGAATGAACTGTGTTTTACTACGCCTTATAGTCCTTTGGTGTCTAGATGGAGGGGGGACAGTTTAAGTCTGTCTGCAGAGGATGCCAAACTACTAACAGATTATTCCTCAGGTTTACAAGCAGTACACACACACCACCCGCTTCGGCCAATAGGAGGCTCGGTCCAATTAACAATTCAACCCAGTAGAGGTAACAAGCAAGCTTTTTAAAAAGCTTCCCTGATTGATTGAAAGACATTTGAGTTTCCCAGTTAAAACTTCCAGCAAGTGCTGCCAAAAGGATTCATCTGTCAAGGTGATGTCATACACACAGTGTGGATGACATTTTGGGAGATCTATAATTCATGAAGCAAATAGACTACATCTACCAGACCAATAATATTACTCCCAGTGGTTTAGTGTGTGTGTGTGTGTGTGCGTGTGTGCGTGTGTGCCTGTGTGCGTGTGTTTGTGTGACCCCTCGGCTCTAACAGATAAAGGATAGTCATCAATAAATGCCTGACGTCTCAGATAATGTAGTGACACTCAACTTCCTCTTAACTGAATATTTAATGCTCTTCACATTATCACAGAGCGCAGCAGGAAGGTAACTCCACATGTTCTGGCAAACAACCAGATAAATCTATCTGACTCCAAAAAAGGAGGTAAGATACTGAAACTAAACTATGAACTTTGGATGAAAGGATTCAACAGCCTCAGAAAGAAAGGTTCGATAGGTTAACTAATGCAAATTAAAACAACTGTCTCATTTCTGAACCAATCTCTCTTCACTTTGGCTCTTTCAATATTTATTTGTTTTTTTTTCTGTCATTTAAATGTCTTAAAATTCATATGAACTATGCATTTGGATCTACATGCTAATGTCAACATGCTAACATGCTGACAGAAACACAGCTATCATGCTGATGTTTAATAGCTGTAAATCATATTAATCTATTAAACTAATGTGTGTACTGTACATTAGCTGTTAGCCAAACACACCGTCTATACCAATAAACGTGTGGAAACTGTTTTTTCCCCACTGTGTCTCTGGCTGCAGGCTGAGAGGGGGCGATGCACTCAGCTGTGTTTTCACTAGTGGCCCCTACACACCAGGGCCATTATAAGAAGTGAGTGAGGAGTCAGCAAGCAGTCGATGTCAGTGTAAAACAAGCAATAAAATGTGTTTTGTGAAAGTTCCTTGAGCATGCAGCAATAACTGGACAACCAAAATAGTAAGCAGCTTGCTGCAGCACAAGAAAGATTAGCTGTGGACAGACACAGAGGTGCACACTCACTCACACATACACGGAAGATCACATGTTCCTCCTGACAAAGACAATAATAAACCAAAGGAAATATTTGTATAGATACCGAAGATAAAGATTCATTTTGTGGGGACCATGAACATCATCTTCACGTTTTTCATGGCAATCAAACTTAAACAGTACTTTGAGTTACGGTGAGTTCGCAAATAAAAGTTCTAAAAAGTTTAGTTTTGTTTATTACATGTATTTATTTATCAGAGAGCATGCACAACCAACATTAATCTAGAAGAGATGTATTGTGCCAGATTTAGCTCTGAGCTGAGCAGAAACACTAATACAACTAATGCAGCTAATATAAATACAAGTTCAATACAATAAATACCAAATCAAATCCAAATTAGTTTCTATTTTGTCAGATCTTGCAGGAGCCATTTGCTGCATCGTCAGCTGTCATTATAATGTAATCTGACTACATCAAAGGAGGATTACTGTTCACACTTTCATCATGTCATTCATGGATTCTCAGAAACTCCCCATTTACCGCCCACTCCATGAAACATTCAGCCTCTTCATTGAACAACAGCACAAATTGATTGGGGAGAATAATGGATCGGAGAAAAACACACACACACACACACACACACACACACACACACACACACACACACACACACACACACAAACACACCAAGTCAGGTGAACCACAGAGAGGAAGACATGTGATCTGAAGGGGAAGACTTCATTCACCAAATGAAACAGGAAAAATAAATATGAATCAATCTTTGTGTTTTCTTCGGCCCCAAACTTGTTTTCTTGTCTAATTTGATGTTGATGATATTACACCTTAGTGCCTTGAGATGCAGTTCCTCCCACGACCACTAGATGCAAACTCTGACAAAACACTAAATTAATAGAAGTGGATGAGAAAACTTCCAAATTCCCGCTGGAAATACCATCTCAATAATTGAGATAGTATTCCAATACCAGGATGTTCTCACACCAACAAACGGGTCTTGCTTTTTCTTTCTCTTCCTGACTGATAAAAAGAGGATGAAAACACATCAGCCAAGATAATGTTACATTTGTGCGTGGAACATAGCTGAGTTAGCTATCTAGCTAGGTGACGTATATTGTGATGACGAGAGATGTAGTTCACAAAATGATACTAAAACAAGCTGAGACTCTCTCGACTTGTGAAATTATCTTTTAATATCTTATCAGACATCATTATGTGTAATTCATGGCACAATTCAAAGGGGATCAAATAAAGTGCCTTGGGGGACACCGGAAGGTTGCCTGGCTCCAGTGATGGAAAACAGACAGTGAGATATTATATGTACAGTCTACAACATAAACACGTATGAAGCCCGCTGCACCAACTCGCTGTGAACCTATAAAGTGTGTCGGTGGGGCGTGGTGCAGAGATTTATCGAGGAAGGGCCTCCTGCAGTGGGTGAAACCCGGTCGACCCATTAACCTGCTGCAGCCGGGACACGACCAGGGGCTCGTATCAGTCCACATTACGGAGGCATCGATCCCAGGAGCAGCTCAGCTGACAGGAGCAGTCATGAATAATTGATGCTGCGCTGATTGAATGGAGACTCTCCTCTGCTGCTTGTATTTTTATATGAAGGCTCATTTTTTTTATTAACATTTAGTGCAGTCAGGAGAAATGGAACTGCAGAATGCCTGTGTTACATTTTCAGATTGTTTGCGTTCAGCATTTGATGCACATTAGTTTATGTTTTTTTTTAACTGCTCACAAACCTGTATTTTTTACGGTTGAAGTGGCTATCACAAACCTGAAAATGCTCTAGTAAATATTTTTATATCAACAATGGATTTAATGACTATGTGTAGTCTTCAGCTCATCGCTTTCCTGCAACTTTACATCTTCTTTTGGCCGCAGGAAGCAACTGTGAAAAAAATCTCTGAAAGCCCACAGAGCCCTGCCGGCCAACTACTGGTGAACATAGTGGAGCATTTAGCAGCTAAAGAAACATTGTAAACATGAGTTTATGGTCTCAATCTCTAGTTTCAAGTCTTCTTCAATACAGCATGATGTTCATTTAGTACATTATGGTCTATTTAGAGTCAAACAGACCATAAAGCAGGGGATGCTTTAGGGCGGGGCTACTGTGATTGACAGGTCTCTACCAGAGCGTTGTCCAGTCTGGGGCTTCGTCGTTTTTATCTTACATATTTAAATCTTTCATAGTGTCTTTTTACTTCACGAAAGTTAAATTATAACATTTTGGATGCCTAAAAACTTCTTATACAGTCATAGGAGCTACAGTCGTACTTAGCTCCTCCCTCTTGTGTTACTTCTGGTTGCAAAAAAAAAAGAATGATGGCGACGGCCAAAACGATGAACTCGAGGCTTCCAAACAGCCGTCCACAAACCAACGGGTGTCGTCACGGTGCCTGGGCCACCTCTTATACACAGTCTATGCTTTAACCCTGATCTTTATTTAACCTTAATCAAGTGTTTAGGTTGCCAAACCCTGACCATACATTAACCATAACTTATTGGCCACAAGCACAACGTCCCTCCTAAACATTGTCACTGAAAATAAGCTGGGGTTTTAGCAGAATTGTCTGATATTGACATGCAGTATTTGTTTGACAAGGTGGCAGCACTGGAGTCAAAGGAAAGGAGGAGGGATGTTTTTAGGGAAATGGGACACACCCCTTGTTTCCAGACTCCTGATTGAATCCCAGGCCAAGTCACAGTCCGTCTTAGTGTTTTCATCAATAATTATATTATGGTTTACTTTCATTTTTACATATTTTTAAGTCATGTGATCTAAAAGACAGAAACGCTGCCTTTTGTTAAACATCCCACCGTTGCCTTTGTGTGTGTGTGTGTGTGTGTGTGCGTGTGTGTGTGTGTGTGTGTGTGTGCATGTGTGTGACAGAGGCAGTGCTGTACGATCATGTGAATTACAGAAATGATAAATTGAATCAGCGGGGAGTCTCTGGCTCCACTGGTCTCAGTTGTTTCCAATGATCTGTTTCAGAAGACTCGTCTGACCAGCAGCAGCGCTGCACCTCTCACTGTAGAAACCACAGGGTCTCATTACATCTCACTTAAAGAAACATTCCACCATTTCTTTTGTGTGTTTGTGTGTGTGTGTGTGTGTGTGTGTATGTGTGTGCGTGTGTGTGCGTGTGTGTGCTCATGCAGTAACCTGAGCTGTCAGACATTCGCCTCAAAGCAAAGTGGATCTTCACAAAGATGTACACATTTTGGTTTGCTTGCTCAGATTTTTTAGGTATTTGTGTATTTTTATTCTTCATAAATGTATGTTCATGTTTAAAACATTTTACTTGCAGAATGTGTTTTATGTTTGTATGATTGATCCTCTCGCCCCTTATGATTGGATTATTCTGTTTCCTGTTTCTCCACAGCATTTATTTTAAATAACAGTCCTCGGATATCTTGTTCTCTTTTGATGCACCAGAATTACAAAGCTATTTTATAAAATCTTTATTTTACCTTAATGACATTAAATGACATAAATTACTTCCTGGAGGTCGAATCAATATGCAAACTTAGATCAATAATGTGTGTATTTATGACTAATAATATGATTTACAGTAGGTATTAGGATGCTTGTCTATTCTGGGGAATAATAAGGCCTTCTTATGACAATCATCCTTCTTTTGTTACAGTGACAACACCAAAGATGGAAAGTAATAAAAATACTAATACTCAATGGAGAACTGGTGTTTTAGTGGAGTATTCCCATTTTGTGAAGCTTCTGTGTTTCTTTATTTTCCTTAACTCTTTTCTTTTCTTATTTCTCTCCTTTTTGTCCATTGAGTAATTTTACTTTAGATGCTTACTTCTTCACTTATAAATAAAGTTTGTTTGCACGACCATGTGAAGTGAAGTACCCCTTTCTCTGTGGTACTGCTACTTTTACTTAAAGTACTTAAGGATTCTAGTACTTCTTGCACATATAACAGTGGCACATGTATCAGCACATTGTTTTGTAGCCATTAAGACGCAGGCGGGGGTTGGATATTTATCTGCTGTGGACATGTGAGCTGCCCGTATCGACTTTCCTCGGGGGAGATTTATTTTTGCCTGCAGTCGCTCGGCTTCCCGCAAGCAAGGTGCATCCGGAGAGGTTTCTCCTCTCCGTCATGTTAGAAAAAGTGTAACCGAAGCCGGGCACTGGACTCAACACACACAAACACACACATATGGATATTCTGACACAAGTGCATACCATATATATACAGTATATATTTATATATATTCCCAGAATGGAATGTTAGAATAAAAGTAAACCGGGAGCAGGACGAGACATGACAATCAGCATCCTCACATCCTCCATGGTCCTCACATATCTCCATCCTGGTGAAGAAAAAGCTCATCAACGGCTATATTTCTTAAGGAAACTTAGGAGGGCAAAGTTACCGTGTTCAAATTCTTGTTAACTTTTAAAAGAGGAGCAAAAGAGAGCATCCTGACTGACTGCAAACTTTACAAACCAACATGGGATGTTCAAGGCACAGGACAGGAGGGCTCTATGGCGAGTGATTAAAACCAGAACATCATTGGTTCTCATCTACTGAGCGTCAGAGAGATTGGTGACAAGAGGTGCCTGCGAAGAGCTCATTTTTAAAAGACAGAACCCACCCAGCCACATCCTGTTCCCCTGCTGCTGTCTGGAAAGAGATACAGAAGTATCAGCTGCTGTAACGCCAGACTTTAGAACAGCTTCTTTCTGTTTTTATCACATGAAAGCACATTTTAATGTTGGGATTCGACAATTTGGAGCCAATTTTAGACCAATATTTTTATTCAACTAGAGTACCAATACAGTACTGCAAATTATATAAGTATATATATGTTTTTTTTTCATTAAAAAGTATCTATAAATGTCAAATAAGGAGTACAAAGTATATAACCCCTGTTAAATGTAGTGGAGAAGAAGTAGAAAGTAACAAAATGAAAACGCCTTTCCTGTCGTTCTTCAGCTGCTTTAATAAAGAGAATAAAAGGCCTGAAAAAGTAATGTGACTTTCCACCTCTGTCAGTGATAGAGGATGCTATCACATTCCCATGACTTTAGCCAGTAGAAGTACTCAACATAATACCACTCCTTCATGGCGGAGTGGTGGTCCGACCGGGTCTTTCTTAATTATACTTTAGTCGACGACCATTAGAAGACAGAGACCAAATTAGCAGCCGTGTGGTTTGCAGTGTTGTGAACTGCAGGCTGAGTATTGATCAGCTGAGGATTTAATTGAGTACTTTTGGGAGCTCTCACATGCAGCATGACCTCATATCCTACTGTACCCATTCATGATAGTAAAAAACAAAGAGTCCAACGCATTGAGAGAGAAGCTGCGACAGTTTTTCCCTCCATGCAGGTTTTGTTGGACAGATAACGGACAAAACTACCAGAGGATCCCCGACAGCCTCTCTGTCTCTCTTCGGCTTATCGGCCGGCTCACATCCTGCCCGTCTCCTCCCGGCCTCTAATGCACCGAGGAGAGAGAGAAGGGAAGGGGATCATTTGAAAAAAAAAAAGCATTGAATGTCTCTTGCTAGTCATGTAAACATTTGCAAAAAAACCACAGAAAATCAATAGCAGAGAGGAGAAATTCCAGTAACTCTGTGTCTGTGTACGCAGCTTGTCTTACAGCGGAAGTGTGGGCCGCGGTGACACAAACGCATACCGAGACATGAAACGTGGTCTGGATGCACGCTGGAGATCCACTAGTTTGTCCTCTGTTGGGCCTATTTTAGCTGTTGGTCAAAGTAAAGTTCTGGTTAGCTTGTAAAGCTCCCTTAAATCAATTCTTATTCCTGTTAATTACTCAAACAAATACTGTGTATGTGTAATGTGAGAAGAGTGACTCGTACTGACAATTATACAGATAATTATCAGCAGGTCTGCGTCTCTACAGCTTTTAGCCTTTTTTAGCTCATCGTGTTCTTTGTTTCAGGTCCCAGTCCTCTAATAAACCACAGACTGTATATAAGAAGTGGACGTAATCACCATGACGTCACCCATTACTTTGTGGACTGACGTTTTGAAGCTTCGAGTTCGTCATTTTGTTCGTCGCCATCTTGTTTTCTGCAACCAGAAGTGACACAAGAAGGTGGAGCTAAGTACAACCGAACACTGAATATCCCAAACATTCAGCATCTACACTTCAGTTTATCAAACACTCAACACATAAAGGAACACTTCATCCTTCAGTCTATCAAACACTCAACACATAA